GGAATTCGATTGATTCCTTCTTTGAACTCGAACATTGTTTCACTCTCCGTCCATCGTGTCCAAACTTGATAGAACGGAACGACAGGGGAATGAAACAACCCAACCGGAATGTCGTAATGTAGATTGCAGCACAAGAAGGACCACCGAAGTTTTGAGCTCCGAGCGATTTGGTTCGATTTTATTCCCTTCCGTTCCGTTCCATTCCATGCGTTGCGTTTAGAGAGCGGGAAACGACCGGGTTCGAGCCTGGTAGGATTCGGTGCAGTGGCATTCCCGATTCGATTCTACCGGGTCTAGTTCGTCACGGACGACGAATCGGTCTCGGCCACCTTGATGAAGGACTCGAGCTCCGTCAGCTCGGCAATCTGCTGCGGGGAAAGCCCCGGGATGCCCTCGAAGACCTGCGTGCGGGCGGACTCGGTGGCGGTGGGCTCGCTGCCTTCCGTTTCGCCCTTGCTCGTGCCGCTGCTGCTGCTGTTCGCCTCGAGGGCAAACATGGTCAGGAGCTGGTCGTCGGTGAGCGAGGCCATCAGGCGCTCGTATTTTTCGACGTCGGCACCGACGCTGCGGAGCTTCTCGGYGGTGGAGGCGTCGAAAAAGGGAGCCTTGTCTTCTCCGCTGCTGCTGCTGTCGGCGGCCTCTTGCTTGCCGGGTTCGTCGYCCCCGGTGTCGGAACGATCGAGCCGGGACCGTGCCTCCTGCTCCATGGTCCGGATGGTGTTCTTGACGTGGCTCTGGTAGATCTCGGCCCGGCTCTCGAGCCGCTCGATGACGGCCTCGATGTCCTCCTGGTTGTAMCGGAATTCCCGGGGGAGATTCAGCAGGTCCCTGTCCAGGTCCTTGTCCAGCCCCTTGGCCCAGTCCTCGTCGTCCGAGTCCCAGTTGGCGTGGGCCTCCTCGTAGTCGATGGCCTYGCCGATCTCGCGGTCCTCCTCGGCGATGAGCATCAGGTCCTCGTCGCTCTCRCCGGAAGCCTTGCCGGCCGCGGCCGCCCAGAGGCGTTCCTCCCGCTCCTGCCGCTTCTTTTCCTTTTCGGTCCTCAGGTCGGGCTTGGGGAGCTTGCCGACGGGGACGGGAAAGACCCTGCCCTGGGGCTGCCCCGTRCGGAGGGGATCGCGGATCGCCACCGGAACCCCCAGGGAGGACCCGGCGTAGGGAGCCTTCGACGATTCGTCGCCGGCACCGGCGCCTCCCTCGCCGCCGGAAAAGACAAAAAAYCTGGTGGGGTCCCCGAGGAGGAGTTCCGCCCCTTCTTTTTCCTGGGCGGCCACGTTCCCGAGGACGCCGAGGGAGGGCACCGGCGGCGGCTTGGGGGGCTCCCCCTCGCGGGAGGAGCCCTCGTCGTGCTCCCTGGCCAGGTAGTCCTTCTGGCGCTGCAGGAGGGCCCTGCGTCCGGCGATGCGGACGTTGGCCCGGAGCCGGGCCTTGTCCTCCCTGTCCCGGGCCTCCCCGAGCCTTTCTTCGGTCCAGACCGTGTCGTAGTCCACGTTGGTGTGGGTGTAGGCCTCCTCCTCGAGCTGCTGGAGGAGGACCTGCGAGCGGGTCTTGTAGGTCTTGGACCGGTCCCAGGTGTGCCCCTCGTGGGACCAAAAGTGCGAGTCCAGCGACGGATTGGGAACCCCCAGGACCCCCTGGGGCCTGGCCCAGAGCATCTGCTCCGTCTCGGGATCCGCAAAGGCCGCCTCGACCTCCTCGGGCGTGGTCAGCCAGTCCTTCGATTCCTCCTCCAGCTCGTCGATGAGCAGCTGGCGGGCCCGCTGGTGGAGTTTTTGGTGGGCCTCCCGGACCTCCTGCTGCCTCTCCAGGTGGTCGGCAAAGACGGCGGCGTTCTGCCTCCGGAGCTCCTCCTGGCGGATCGCGTTGCGGAGGGACCGCTCGTTCTTGGCCCGCTGCCGCTCGAGGCGCCTCCGGGTGGTGGCCGCRACGGCGGCGTCCCGTTCCGCCAGGTCCAGGGCGGTGTGCCTCTCGTGCTCCACCCGGTAGTCGTGCCGGAGCTTTCCGACCCTGCGCTTGTAGGCCGCCCGGGACCGGTTGTACTCGAGGGCGGCCGCCCGGCGCTGCTTCTTTTCTTCCGAGGCCGAAACCGCTTCCGGGGACCCCCCGGAAGCGGATCCTGCCTCGCTCCCGCTCTCGCCCTCCGCCAGCAGGGACGCCGGGGTGGAGGAGTAGGCCCTGGCAAAGGGAAAGGCAGCGGCAGCGTCGAGCTTCTTCAGGAGTTTCAGGCAGGCCTGGTTCTTTCCTTTCAACGCGGTGGAGCACACCGAGGCTCGGAGAAACGTCATCGTGTGTCTATGTGTGTAGAAAATGCCGTTCGCGAAGCAATCGGCGGATGGATTGCTTCYTGCTCCGTGTTTTTGATTGGACGGCAGTTCCCTTAACCTGGCTCTCTCTCTATGTGTGTGTGTGTGTTTCGATCGTGCTGGCCCCGTCGACTGTTCTGCTATCACCTATCGCACACCCCGTTGTTTKGATCAGAGGATGTTATGAATCAACCAAGGCAATGAATCTACCGTACGGTATGTTGCTGTGATGGGAGCCTTTKTTGTGGTTTTGTTGGAAGATGTGTGCTGTGCAGCAATCAAAACATTCATCAATCCCATCCTCCCAAACACCCATCGCATCCCTGCCTCTCAAGAAAGCAACCCTTCTCGGTCTGGCCGCCATCCGAATGATTTGGGAGATACAATCGGTCAGTCAGTCAGCCGATAGTAGCAGTTGGGGTAGCAGTCCGTGACTCGCCCCAGTTTCTTACCTTCAGAGAGCGTATGGATACGTACGGGTACGAGTACCATACTCTGTGCACTTATGTTCCTCTCGAGATTGAGTCTGTTACCGTTAAAAGTTTCGGTAAAGCATACCGTTCTCTATTCTCGATGACAATGACAGAACTCAGTAACGAAAGAAATAAGTACTAATTTTTGCACTAGACGATCTGTGCTAAATATACCCTCTTCCTCCCCTCCCCTCCCCGCTTCGATAGGATACGATACGAGACTATCCATCCGGCCATGGCACGACGGCGAACGCTTCCGGTGGCAGCAGCAATAGCAGCAGCCGCCGCGGTCTTGTTCCTGTCCGCAACGACAACGACAACGACAACGACAACCGCAGCGGCGGCGACCGACCGGGGCAGCGAACTCCAGGAGGGCATCGTCTCGTGGGTCCGTTCCAAGGGCGGGAGCTTTTCGGAAAAGATCGAGATCCGGAGGGTCGAYCCCTCGGATCCTTCCTCGTACTGGGGCGTCTTTGTCCGAGAGAACGAAAGCRTCGAAAAGGGGGAAGACCTCTTTCGGGTTCCGAGGGAGTGCTACCTCGACGTCTTTGGCGAGGCCGAGCCCATGGGCTACGAAAACATGGACGCCGCCGAGGAGGCGTACCACCGAAACCTCTGCAAGCTCTCGAAAAAGCTGGGGAGGGAAATGGAGGCCGGGGAGGCATCGGACTACGCGCCCTACCTTGCCTACCTGGCGWCACAAAGACCCGGCCAGCTGCCGGCGAACTGGTCCCCCCAGGGGAAGGACCTCCTGCGGAAGATTGCCACTCCCGGAAGCCACATGGTGGACTGGATCGACCGGAACTTTGT